ATAGATAAAAAAATGATGAATACTGCCAATTTTAAAAGTTCAAAGGTGCTTATATACGCTGCGCGCGCTCTCTGTGGAAACACCCACTTCTTTTTATAGGATGCACAAACTGCATTGTATTCACAGAAGATCAACTCAAGTGTGATTCACTATTATAACCTTATTTGTATTCAGGTACACATTTCAACAGAGGATTAATACTTTTGATCAAAGTTAGTTTCACCTCTTTCGACAAATATTTTTAATCAACCTGAGAAATAATTGCTACAGATCTGCATGCAGTTTGGACGCACTTGTTATAGACTCAGGATGTTGGTAGATCTACTACGTCACAGCTTATAGTTTGAGCTTGCATAAACTCACTGTATAGGCTAATAACTTCTAGTGTCATTAGCTGATCACATTTTAAAGTTTTATCGGACATCAATTATTGGATAAACGATAGAACGAGCTCGTGTTTGTATCATTATTAAGATTATCAATATACTATTACTATTTGGCCTTTATGTCCATTCTGATTTGCTTATATTTCTGCTTTCATAGAAATGAATTTATCAAAAGGGTTGTATTCCCTTCTAAGAAAACAGAAAAAAACCAATGTGTTAAAGTCCGCGGTCCTTATGATTATGTGTACGGGGGTGCCGGGGAGGGGGTGGGGGTCGTGTTTCTTACTTTTGTGAAACACTCGACGCGCGCAAATGCCGGTGTTTGATTTTTAAACAAGCTCCATGTAATTGGCATACATCTAATTCTAAAAATATGTTATTGTCACTTTTCTATTATTCGTTTTGGTTTAGGTGAACGACCTTGTCCAGCGTTGTGCAAGTAAAAAATCAGAACTGGAGAAGAACATTCAGAATGTGGAGGTACAACGAAATGAAGTATACATTGCCGTGCAGAAACTACTGGACGATGTTAATCAAACCTACAGCATCAAGGCCAAAGAGCTTGAAGAAAATCTTCGAAATCTCATCGAGCAGATCAATGCATTAAAGCAGAGTTTTGATGACGATCTCAACGTCTCGAAATCCAACGATCGTCAAAGGATCAAGAGTATTTGCAGTTCAATAACACTGGTAGCTAATGACAGACTGGGTTATCTTGAGCCAGACAGTGTGTCTGCTCATACCTTGCTATGTGATAAGCTGGATGCCATGCTGAAGGAGGCTACTGATCACACTTCTGCGGCAGCCATTACGAAGAAAGCACAGGAGAAGAGGTTCAAGTCTGCAGATGTTACTTGCCTTGAACTCGGAAGCATCTCAGAATCAGCTACTGATCACACTTCTGCTGCAGCCATTAGCAAGAAAGCACAGGAAAAGAGATTCAAGCATGAAGATGATACTCGTATTGAACTCGGAAGCATCTCAGAATCAGCTACTGACCACACTTCTGCTGCAGCCAGGAAGACAGCACAAGAGAAGAGGTTCAAGTCTGTAGATGATACTAATTGTCTTGAACTCGGGAGCAACTCAGAATCATATCCCCAGTTGCAAGTCATGGAGTCTGTAAATCTTCGGGGACGGATGTTTGGTATCACCCCGTACTCTAAGGACAGTGTAGCTATCGGATATATTGATGTACGTGGTATAGATATCATCGATTCTACTGGTTATCAGGATCAGTTAGCATTGAACATAACAAGTAACATGAAGTGCGTTGATCTTGTGTTTCAACAAGACGGGTTGGTATTCATATCGACTGGTAACAACAAAGCACATATATATGCTCCTAATGGATCCAGGAAATCAACCATACACGTGAAAGGCAACGAACTAAATCTCAAACTAAACAGAAGTCCATCAGATGAAATCCTCATCGCGAACAGTGAGAAGAAAGTCTATATCTTAGACCCGACGGGATCCACTCTCAAACACACTGTTCCAACAAAACACAACGAGACCAGCCAGGTATCTGGCACCAGGTCGGGTTTGCTCGTCACGAGTTCATGTGATTTAACCAATCCAAGCGTGGTGACGGTCTATGACAGGGATGGGAATGCTGGTGAATCCCTAAAAAATGGTGGCTCTGCCATGTATGCTGCCGTGGATGAGCAGGACAGGGTGTATGTAGCGCATGTAATTAGTGAAAGTCAGATGTACCAGCAAACGTCCTACTTGCAAATTATGCTCTACGACCTTGATGGTCTGAACCTCAAGGAGAGAGTTGAGTTCCCTAAACGTAATCTGAAGATTGATTATACATCAGCTAGTTGGTGTTACTTGGTTTCCCTCTCACCAGACGTGCTCGCATTTGCTATTGACAAGAAGTTGTATTTGATCAAAGTATCACTGTAATCCATCTCTCACTCTATATTACTATTATTTGTAGTGTGTATACCAGTCCTCTCTGCTCCAGCTCTTCCTTAATACGGGCCTATATTTCATCATTGTGTATTATGTGATAACTATTTAAACCGAATGAGAAATTGCCCATTCTGATCTCTCGATAGATTTTAATTGCCGGTATACAGTTGACATGCATGTTATCCAATATAATAATAACGCCCCTCAATCGAAATAGTATGTCAATACTGTACGTAATATGTATCTACTTCATGTTTTGTGTAATCGTTTCTCTTAGATATTACTGAAAAGGGGTGATATGATACCATAATGTATAACTTGAAATTGGTCTAGTTTACCAGTCGGAAATTCTGTTTCCATACCAAACGTTCTAAGGAATCTAAAAAATATTACGATATCTATGTAAACGTTTAATGCAATTCTGTTATAGTTAATGATTTCACTTTGAATATTTCATGTACATATTTTGTTGTATGTAAACAGTATTGTTGATTGACACTGGGTGAGTCCTTTGATGTTTGATAGAAAAAGACAAAGCGGAAAGAGAGAAATGGACGGAGATAGGAATAATAATAATAATAATAATAATATTAAACTTTGATATAGCGCCTAATACAAAATGTCTCTAAGCGCTTTATAAAATATTACCCCGGTCATTGGATTCAGTGGAGAAAGAGGGGGATGTAGTTGTAGTGTACTTGCCGTCTTTTACTCTTCCAAATATACCGCAGTAATGAAAGCAAATAAAATGTCTCGCTCTATTATCCAGGATGCTAATAAAGTGGATCCCCAACATAATACTACTGAAAGCCTGAATAAGTCGCCATCTATATAGAACCAATCCCGACCTTAGATTCTTTTGTATTCAGTTGTGGTTGTGTCTGAAGTCTAGATAATGCACCTACAACTTCTTCTCGACAGAGTTTGGTGCATGGGTAACCCAATGTGATCGACTTGCGTTCCCTTTACGGGGCCCAATCCCATAGGACAATGTTCAGGATGAAAAACAAAATCGTAGATGGCATTGATGGTTAAGTAACTTTGTTCAGTCAATTCTTGTGGGAAAATGGGACTACTATTTCGAGACATAGTACTGGCCCTGCACTGTTCTGTACAACGTTTAGTTAAGTACCTTTAAAGGGAAATCCAATCTTTATATCAAAACACTCTAGAGAAAAGGAGAAAAATCAGAAAAATAGACGGGGATTGTTTGAATGAAATCGTACACAAAATGAGAAACCTATTAATTTGGAAAGTTGTAATTGCTCTGTATACGGGCTCTTCAAATTGGCTGAATCGGTAATGTCTCTGTGATGTAGTGGCGTACAACTTTCCGGTTTGTTCCAACACACAATTTTACTAAACTGTCTTCTTTTTTTGATTTTGATGACTCCAGAACCTTGCAGTACACACCAATACTTAAATGCTACATGATCAACTTTTTCTGATTCATACCACACCTTTTCTTGCACAGTTATTGTGGAAGTCTTTTGAAATCATTCGATCAGTACCCCCCCCCCCCTCCTCCCCGTACTGTGCGAATGCCCGTTTGGTGACGAGGAGGAGAATGATGATGTTAATGATGATGCTGACTAGGATTATGAGGATCATCATGATGATTATCATCCTGATGAATGTCCACAGCGCTGCCCGCATATAGTTGGAATAATTTTTTTTTCCTCTTTCGTGAAATGTTTATGACAACTGACAATTACTTAGTTTAATATAGATAAACCTATAATTATATCAGGTTATACATCTTTTTGTTTTAATGTATAGATCAATCTCTATGATTCTTTAACTTGATCAAGAAGATATGAACTATATTAATCAAGATTCAAAAATAAATTATATAGTAACAATCATGGCATGAAAAGAGGTAATAAATTTTATTCCAACTTTATCGGTGATGATGATGAAAAAAAAAATATTCACAACGACGGTGATATGATATGAATGAATAATTAAACGAACAAACGAATGAACGAACGCACGAATAAATGAATAAATGAATGAATGATGAACCAAATTAATGAGTGAACGAAGGAATGACGAAATGAATGCATGGATATTATTATTATGATGATGATGATGATGATGACGATGATGAGATGATGATGATGATGACGACGACGACGACGACGATGATGATGATGATGATGATATGATGATGATGATGATGACGACGACGACGATGATGATGATGATGATGATGATGATGATGCCTTACGTGTACACACAACGCTGCAGCCTACGTGCAGATCATTAATTATAAGTCGCCCTCTATATAGATAAGAATGATGAATACTGCCAATAAGGTCAAAGGTGCTTATACGCTGCGCGCGCTCTCTGTGGAAAAACCCAATTCTATAAATAGGATGCACACACGGCATTATATTCACAGAAGATCTACCCAAGTGTGATTTTGCTATTATAAACTTATTGGTATTCCGGTACACATTTCAATAGACATTTTTAATCAACGTGAGAAATTGGTACAGAACTGCCAGTGCATACAAATAGGACGCACTTGTTATACGGACTTAGGATATTGGTAGATCACGACAGCGTATAGTTTGAGCTTGCATGAACTTACTGTAGGCTAATAACTTCTAGTACACATTAGCTGATCACATTTTAAAGTTTTATTGGACATAAATTATTGGAAATAGGGGTAGAACGAACGCGTGTTTGTAATTAGCCAGAAATCCGTTATTTGTACCAATGGCTGAGAAGATTGAGGAAGAGAAAGCTCCAAGCGCTTCACATAACCTAACATGTCCACTATGTCTTGGTATCTTCGATGAGGCAACCATCCTGACTTCATGCGGACACACCTTCTGTCGGAAATGTCTCAAGAACTATGACCTGTCCCATCAGGATCTCGATCACATGACATGTCCTCTCTGCAGGGAGGTCACCAAGTTGTCTGCGAACCGTGTCGATGATTTCCTCACCAATGTGACTGTCAACGGACTCGTAGACGATTACAAGGCCAAGTGTGGAGGGGTGAATGCTGCCCTGGAGGTGCGTCCAAAATGCACTGCTTGCACGTCCCATCAAGATGCTGTCTCATTCTGCAGAACATGTAATAGATACATGTGTGATAAGTGTCTGGATTGTCATCAACATCTTAAAGTCGTTTTTAAAGGACATGAGATTGTATCCATACAGGATATCCTCGACGGGAAGGCCAGCATTGGTCACCTATATGAGAAGTGCTGCATCCACAAACAAGAGAACAAAGATATGTTTTGTGAGGATTGTAAAGTCCACGTCTGTCACAAGTGCGTGATAGTCAGTCATCAAAATCACAACATTAAGAATCAGGCTGACTTCGAGCAAGAGTTACGGCTAAAGGTAAGTGTGGCTTTCGGACATTTTTTTTTTAAAGCTCGCGTTTGGCTAATTAGGCCTGACCATAATTGGTCTTAAAAGTAGTATTATCATGTATGTGGCTTTCGCAGTGGCGGATCCAGGGGGGGGCCCGGGGGGCCCGGGCCCCCCCCCCTTGAGAAAAAAATCATGTAAAATCACGTGATTTTTACGATTTTGGGGGGTTGGGCCCCCCCCCCTGGCGCTCAAGGGGGGGGTGCAAATTGAAATTTTTTTGAGGATCAAAAAAAAAAAAATGTGCTCACTACCCCCCCCCCCCCCCCCCCCCCCCACCCCCCCCCCCCCCACTGAGCGAATTTTTGGCCGGCGCGTTTTTCAAATTTTCGGGAGCAAAAAAAAAAAAAAAAAATTGTGCTCTGTACCCCCCCCCCCCCCCCCCCCCCCCCCCCCCCCCCCCCCCCCACTGAGCGACTTTTCGGCCGGCGCGATTTTCAAATTTTCGGGAGCAAAAAAAAAAAAAGTTGGGCCCCCTCCCCTAAGAAATCCTGGATCCGCGCCTGGGCTTTCGGACATTTATTTTTAAAAAAACTCGCGTTTGGCTAATAAGACCTGACAATAATTGGTCTTAAAAGTAGGAGTATCATGTATTCTTTTTCTTCTTCTTCTTCTTATTATTATTATATCACTTTTTATTGTCACTAATATTTTAATCATTATTTTCATCATGATTATTATTATTATGATTATCATTATACTATTACTATTTGGTCTATCTCCATTCTGTTTATCTTATATTTCTGCTTTGACTTCATAGAACTTATGATTTTATCAAAAGGGTTGTATTCCCTTCTAAGAAAACAGGAAGAAAAAAACAATGTATTCAATTACGCGGTCCTTATGATTATGTGTACGGGGGTGCCGGGGGGCGGGGGGTCGTGTTTCTTACTTTTGTGAAACACCAGGCGCGCGCAAATTCCGGTGTTTGATTTTTAAACAAGCTCCATGTAATTGGCATACATCTCATTCTAATTCAAATATGTTCTTTTCGCTTTTCTATTATTCGTTTTGGTTTAGGTGAACGATCTTGTCCAGCGTTGCGCAAGTAAGAAATCAGAACTGGAGAAGAACATTCAGAATGTGGAAGTACAACGAAATGAAGTATACACTGCCGTGCAGAAACTACTGGACGATGTCAATCAAGCCTACAGCATCAAGGCCGAAGAGCTTGAAGAAAATCTTCGAAATCTCATCGAGCAGATCAATGCAGTAAAGCGGAGTTTCGATGATGATCTCAACGTCTTGAAATCCAACGATCGACAAAGGATCAAGAGTATTTGCAGTTCAATAACACTGGTAGCTAATGACAGACTGGGTCGTCTTGAGACAGACAGTGTGTCTGCTCATACCTTGCTCTGTGAGGAGCTGGATGCCATGCTGAAGGAGGCTACTGATCACACTTCTGCGGCAGCCATTGCGAAGAGAGCACAGGAGAAGAGGTTCAATTCTGCAGATGTTACTTCTCTTGAACTTGGGAGCATCTCAGAATTAGCTCTTGATCACAGTCCTGCTGCAGCCATTAACAAGAAAGCACAGGAGAAGAGGTTCAATTCTGCAGATGTTACTTCTCTTGAACTTAGGAGCATCTCAGAATCAGCTCTTGATCACACTCCTGCTGCAGCCATTAGCAAGACAGCACAAGAGAAGACGTTCAAGCATGAAGGTGATACTCGTATTGAACTCGGAAGCATCTCAGAATCAGCTACTGACCACACTTCTGCTGCAGCCATTGGGATGACAGCACAAGAGAAGAGGTTCAAGCCGGCAGATGTTTCTTGTCTTGAACTCGGGAGCATCTCAAACTCGGATCCCAAGTTGCAATTAATGGAGTCTGTAAATCTACGGGGACGGATGCGTTGTATGAGCCCGTTCTCTAAGGACAGTGTAGCTATCGGATATATGGATGCACATGGTATAGATATCATCGATTCAACTGGTTATCAGGAGCATTATGCAAACATAACAAGTAACGTGAAGCGCGTTGATCTTGTGTTTCAACAAGACGGGTCGGTATTCGCATCGACTGGTGATAACAAAGCAAACATATATGCCCCTAATGGATCCAGGAAATCAAGCATACACGTGAAAGGCAACGAACTGAATCTCAAACTAAACAGAAGTCCAGCAGATGAAATCCTCATCGCGAACAGTGAGAAGAAAGTCTATATCTTAGACCCGACGGGATCCACTCTCAAACACACTGTTCCAACAAAACACAATACAAGCCAGGTATCTGGTACCAGGTCGGGTTTGATCGTCACGAGTTCATGCTCCACCAAACCAAGCGTGGTGACGGTCTATGACAGGGATGGGAATGCTGGTAAGTCTCTACAAGCTGAATATAGTCATCTATTCCTATATGCTGCCGTGGATGAGCAGGACAGGGTGTATGTAGTGAGTGTTAATGAGTCTACCGGTTATTACGTGGCGATCAGGCTCTACGACCTTGATGGGCTGAACCTCAAGGAGAGAGTTGTGTTCAAATGCCAGGGACTTAAGCTGTCGACTGGTTATAGTTGGTGTTACTTGGTTTCCCTCTCACCAGACGTGCTCGCGTTTGCGATTGACAAGAAGTTGTATTTTATCAAAGTATCGCTGTAATCCATCTCACACTCTATATTACCATTATTTGTAGTGTGTATACCTCTCTGCTCCAGGCCTATATGTTTCATATTCGATTGTTTATTTGGTGATAACTAACCGAATGACAAGATGCCCATTCTCTCGATAAATTTTAATTGCCGGTAGACAGTTGGCATTATCCAATATAATAATAACGCCCCTATATCGAAATAATGTAAATACTGTACGTAATATCTATTTCATGCTTTGTGTAATCGTTTCTCTTAGAGATTTTCTGAAATCGTTTTTTTTTAATCATAACCCTTCTCTTTTTTTTTCTCTGAAGGAAATTTAAGAGGAAAACAAAATATTGTGGAAAAGAAATAAAATACTTTGAAATTTATGCGCAAACTGGTCGAGGAAATAGTACAAACTTTATTTACGATTTGTTTAAAATGTGAAAATATAATTTTGTTATATTTTTCATCTGTAAATGTGTAACGTTATTTGTAACCTTGTATGGGCATGTAAAAGTTCACTTGCATATTTATTTAGACCTATGTGAAGATTATTTTGTTATTTTGTATGCAATGTTATAAATTATGTACAATTTTCTTTATCAGAGAAATTATTAAAAACCTATGAAAAAAAGAAGGAAAAAAAAGAAGAAAAAAGGGGTGATTATGATATCATAATGTATAACTTGAAATTGGTAAGATATTAATTAATTTCATATTAGATTTATGTAGTTATTCTCAAAATATGTTTTGTTAATGTTTGTGCTTATATTTCTTGACTTGTATTGTGATCATTTAGTACTTTTAAATGAAGGACCACATTTTACATATTAGCAATTCAGCTTCCACGGGTCAACCAGTCAAGTTATTGGTATTATTATCCTGTTTTCATTTTATAATATTATTTTACTCTTCGCATGGATGTTACATTGAACTTGCTTAATACATCAAATCAATTTTTTAAAATAAATCCTTAGTGGACCATGGTGTGACATTCCATTAAAAATTCCTTCGTATTCAACTTGCACTCTTCTCTGAAAAGCCATGCAAATGAGTGCTCTAAGAACTGGGAACTGATAGTAACTATGACAGATTAGTTTGCTATGGTGTAGAGAAGAGCAATGTTCATGTATAAACAAAAATTAGGTCTAGTTTACTAGTCGGAAGTTCTATTTCTTGACCAATCGTCCTAATATAAGGAATGTACGAATATTATGATATCTTTGTAAACGTTTAATGCAATTCTGTTATAGTTAGTGATTTCACTTTGAATATTTCATGTAAATATTATGTTGTATGCAATCGGTATTGTTGATTGACACTGGATGAGTCCTTTGATGTTTGATAGAAAAAGACAAAGTGGAAAGAGAGAAATGGAAGGAGATAGGAATAATAATAATAATAATGTTTAATTTGTATATAGCGCTTAATACAAATGTCTCTAAGCGCTTTATAAATATACTATTACCCCGGTCATTGGATTCAGTGGAGAAAGAGGGGGATGTAAGTGTAGTGTAGTTGCCGTCTTTTACTCTTCCAAATATACCGTAGTAATGAAAGCAAATAAAATGTCTCGCTCTATTTTCCAGGATGCTAATAAAGTGGATCTCCAACATAATACTACTGAAAGCCTGAATAAGTCGCCATCTATATAGAACCAATCCAATCCAATCCAATCCAATCCAAAAGACATTAGCGCCTTTTCCTTGCACTGACAAAGCCTTAGATTATTTTTTCTTTAGTTGTGGTTGTGTCTAGAACTCTAGATAATGTACCTACAACTTCTTCTCGACAGAGTTCGGTCCATGCGGTGACCCAATGTGATCGACTTGCATTCTCTTTACAGGGCCCAAACCAATAGGACAATGTTCAGGATGAAAAAAAAACACGTAGATGGCATTGACGGTCTAAGTTACTTTGTTCAGTCAATTCTTATTGGAAAATGGGACGACTATTTCGGGACAGACTACTGGCCCCAGTTCTGTTCTGTACAACGTTTAGTTAAGTACATTTAAAGAGAAATCCAATCTTTATATCAAAATACTATAGAGAAAAGAATACAAATCAGAAAAGTGGACTGGGGAAAGTTTGAATGAAATCGTACAAAAATGAAAAAACCTATGAATTTTGAAAGTTGTAATCTCTATATAGATATGGGTTCTTCAATTTGGCTGAATCGGTAATGTCTCTGTGATGTTGTGTCGGACAACCTTCCGGTTTGTTCCAGCACACAAGTTGACTAAAATGTCTTCTTTTTTTCTTCTTCAAAAGATCATGACTGAGGACCTATACAATGTGACACCCATAATATATTTTGAGTAGTGCCTCAAGGGAGAAGGCATTCAGACAAAAAAACAGAAATATAATGATATTCTTTTTACACGACAAACAGGAGATTTGTCAGGCACTACGTCACAATAATTCACTAACCAATCTGTCACTTTGAGATATATAGACTAAGTGATCTCACATTTAGAACATTCGATTACAAAAAACAAAAACCATTCTTGGATTGTCCTTTACCGTATTTTGAATTTTTCTTTTTGTTCTCTTTTTTCATAACTTAGAAAATAATTATAAGTATCTATACGCTGTAAATGTAGCCTATATATTACATTAACATTTTTATTTTTATTTGTATACTGACACAGTATTGTTGACTTATACTGGATATATATGTGGAAGATCTAGATTATAGTTTACTTGTCTTATGTGATATTGCCATCTGTAAAATCAGTATCATGTTGTTATTACTGCATGTAAGCCTATATATCCAAATTAAAATCACAAGAATAGCACATTTTCTGAGCATAACAAAACTACTGATTATATTTGTTTAGTCGTTATTAAGGTGATGAAAGAAATCTCTAAATGGAGTGTAAGCTGACGAAGAATTTGGTAATATTGATCCTAACTAGGTTACACTCTGATCACATTTTGCTGTCCATACGATGTGAGATCTTTCATCATGTTTCTTAGTATGCCTTGTTATCTCACAATGTATGGACAGCATAATGTCATCTCAGTTAGGTGTCCATGTGCTGTAAGATCTGTCACCATGTTTCTCAGTATGCCATGTTATCTCACACTGTATGGACAGCACGATGTCATCTCAGTTAGGTGACCATAATTATTCTGTAAGATCTCTTGCCATGTTTCTTAGCACGTTTAGTGAACACTAATTATTTTTTTTCGAAAATTTGAAAAATCGCACCCCCTCCCCCTTGAGCGCCAGGGGGGGGGGGGGGGCATCTCCATTAAAAGGTAACATTAACGTGTTTTTACACGTTTTCTTTCGCCACTGCTGGTTTTTTAGATTATCTCTTCCTCCTCTCTCTATCTTTCTCTATTCGTTCTCAGAATAAGATTTATTCTGTCTGTAACTTTTCCCCCTCATACATGCTCGTTCCCTTTCTCTTTCTTATGAATTATCACTCGTCGTCTCGACCATTGACTACTCTTTCCTTTCTCTCTCTCTCTCTCTCTCTCTCTCTCGAATACCCACCCTCTTTAGAAATTAATATGCTACACATGAAGAAAAATATAGAACTTGGGTTTAACTGTAGATATAATTATATAAGGACAGTTTAGTCAACTAACATTCAAGCATTTATGAAACAAAATAATGATCATACTAATTTCCCGGTTTTGCAGTTCACCTGTTTATGGTTTTGAATGAAAATAAATACTGCTTTATCTGTATTTTAAGAAGAAATAAAACTCAAATTAAAAAAAAAAATTAATTGAATAAATAAGAAATAAATTTAAAAAGATACATTACTCATACTAAATACTCCATTACTCATACGTAATACATCAGTCGCACGAACGAGAGCAACACTACAGTGCGCCCCGGAAAAACGAAACCGAGAATTATCGATGTTTTATCATAACTTAATCACAATTATAATTAATAAATGACACATATTTGTAAAGCTTAGGTCCTCCTCTTTCATTTGATTTAACTGATATGATGCATATTTCACACATGAGTGATTCAAAACAATTTGAAAAAGGGTTACCAAAAAGTCATTTGGCGGACGGTATCTGAATTTTAAAGAGAAGATCACATTTCTATAGGAAGTGCAGTTTCTGCCCTTCCATATGACACCTCAATAAGGAAAAATGAGCTAGGAATAAATTAATGTTGTTTGTTTAAAGTAATGCTTGCACTTCCATAATTGCATTGAACGAATTCGTTTTCACTGGCTGCCTGCCGTATCAACAAACGGAATTTACAAAAGACTTAACTCCGTTTTGTTGAAGATCAGCCATAGACGTATGACCTGATGCATATATCACATATAGATTCACAAACATTTGTTTTAGACCGACTTGAACTGGAAATGAATGAATGACCGGCTCACAAAACTGATAAGAAAGAAAAAAACAGTTACGAAGGTAATATGATCTCGTACTATATAACCCCCGGAGGTGGGGGGGGGGGGGAACCCACATATTAAGACATACAGGGATGTGCCGCTCTAATGGGTATCCGTTTCACCAAAAAAAATCCCTAAACATGGGTCCCACTTTTAACAAAAATACCATTAAAAATGGGTTCGTTTTTTCAAAATTTCCAACATTTGCATAATTTGCATAATGGCTGTCATGCTCACGTCATTTTTTCTCTTTGGCAATCTCGAAATTATTGAAACGTTAACAAAAAAAGAGAAATTTGGCTAGAAATGGGCACAGAGTGTTTATGCCTGTGATGTCTATTTCCGCTCTCATTAGAATACGATAGTGGTAGGTCTCTTTATTTATTTACTACGCATTAGTCTCCTTGAATAAAAGCGCTTTGGAACTTTAATATCTAGGTTGAAAGTATACGACGAGTAGAAAATAAAAGAGAAACTAACGGGGAAGGGAATTAGAGGAGGGTTATGAGGAAAAATGCGTCCACCGTTGCCCCCTCCCTTCTACCAAAAGGAATTTAATTGTGCATTGAGCAAAATTTGTGCTCGTTGTGCTTCTTGACACCGCTCTGCACCAATAATACTAATGAGGGTGGCTTCTATGTCGGGTAGTCATTTTCACACCTGAGTGGAGAGTGGCGAATGTGGATAGATTATGTCCTGCCAAAGGAGATTAGTGCAGGACGAAGTTTCGAACCCTCAACCCTTGGATTGAAAGCCAAGTGAATGAACCATCTACACCACGACACCTTCATAACCAGTGGCGTAAGGGGCAAACAAACACCGACTTTTCCGTTTGGGGGCGACCGAACCCCCTGCCCCCCACCCCCACACACACACACTTCAGGCCCCTATGGTTGTGACAGCTACTCTACCTGTCCTCATTTAAGGTATGAGTAAATATTTTCGCAAATTATGGTTTAAAAAAATTGTGATTTGCAAAGATGATGAGACTTATATTTCTTGCTGGGCCGCGGTCCCCAATCCTGGAGATTAAACAAAATATATAAATATCCGATTGAGGTAAATGGGATTAGTCAAAGTTGCTTTCTGAAATCTTAGGTCTCCAATTCCTGGAAGTTGTATCACAATAATGGCGCTTGAAGAAAAATGTGTTGATGATTGGCTCATCAAAGTTAAACCCAGTTGTTGAGGAAGTCTTTTGAAATCATTCGACCAGCACTCCTCCCGGCTCCCCCTCCTCCCCCGTACTGTGCGAATGCCCGTTTGGTGACGAGGAGGAGGATGATGATGTTAATGATGATGCTGACTAGGATTATGAAGATCATCATGATGATTATCA